ATGCCTTGAGGTGCAGAAAAGGCTCAGTTCAGTCTGCTTCATTAACGCAGCCTGAAGCATCATTAAGATGCTTTGTTTTCTTACAGTCACAGGAACATATTTAGCAAGGAAGTCATAATGTAAGGGGGAAAAAAAAGGAAAGAAAATAAAGGTGGCTTTGTTGAAATGTGGGGGAAGTACAGCATTTCTACCTGAATTCTTATTAGCAGGGCTTTGTTTTGGGTTGGTTGGTTTGTTTGTATGCTAAAGAATTTATATGGTGGAACACATCTGTAGGCTGATAGAATCACTTCTCCTTCCCACTGAGAACTTGAGAACTGAGTATTTTCCTTCTGAAAACTACGCCAGTTGCTTACAAGTCAAATTAATATTAAGATGCTTTTAGCAGTGTGTCTAGCTCCTTTTAATGTAATTAATGGCTATATATACACAGAAGAGCCACTTGGTCAATAAATCTGGGATGAAAACAGATGGAATAGTAAGGTCATATGGATAATAATTTATGGTAAGACATTACCTTACATTATTAACTGGCTTTATTTTTGCTGCAGTTATGAAAAGAAAGATCGAAGTTGTCAGAATAACTCAAAAATGTGGTAAAATTAATTTGCCTTGTTAGATTACACCGTGCAATTGCTTCCATGAGGCATGGAAGAAGGAAATATTTCAGCATTTTCCATGGTCCTCTTTTTGTAGTAGAGAGTATAATCTGTTTTACTTTGCAGTATTGGAAAAAAAACATTCATCTTCTCATTTAAAACAGAATATTTCCAGGTTAATATAACAAATGATGTCTGTATTATTTCTGAATGAACGTGATTAATCTACCTGTCAATACTGGAAGAAGGAAAATTAAATAGCTTTGTTTATAAAATATAAACATACTTTAGAGAGACATTAATCCTCAGTGTTGTTTTTTTTGTTTGTTTGTTTTTTGTGTGTGTAGTCTGCTGCTGTAACTTCATTTTACCCAGAGGTTCAAACATCTGTTTTAATCACTCAGCTGATTTCACTTTTTTTGCAGCATTCCAGTCATGACATTTTAGACATCTCTGTTCCAGATGATCCCAGTACTTAAGTGTCTTGCTGCTTATCGATGCAGTTGGAAGCTTATACTGACAGCATGCTTCTCACAGAACTTCATTTCCTTTAGTAGTGCACCTCACTAACTTTTATGCAAGTGTTAGGAAAATAGTGCTTTATGACAGGGCTTTTTTTTTTGCTTTTTTTTTTTTTTTTTTTTTTTTTTCCGTTCAGCTCAATGATGCACTGGAATAATTTAACTATTGATAGTGGATTCTTTTCTTAATAACAGCAGCTGTCAAAATGGTCTGATCATGAACAAACAAAACCACGAATGAAAAAAATCACACAGGACATAAAGGGACATAAAGTCAATGCTCATATAGTTCTCTGTAGAACATCCACAGAAATAACCTAAAATGTCATGCTTAATCATACATGCTTTTTTTTTTGTTCTTCTACTTGAGAACAAGGACAAACAATGAACATGGAGATCCATAAAAGCCACCAAACTTGGGGTGTGAAGGTTATTTTGGATCTTTTTCTTTAATCTTTCATTGATTATAATTTAGTCTTTTTCTCAATTCTGTATTAGTTTTAAGCTTATGTAAATTTACATAACTTATGCGTAAAAATGATATATGTTGGAAAGCGCTACTAAAAACGTTACCAGTGTCAAGACTATAAATCAATATTCTTACTCAGTCTTTTCAAGTTATACCAGCTTTTTAGCATGTTTTCCCTTGTGGATGTGTCACACCATGCATATTCAGATATTTAATTCAGATATACTAACCAACAACGAGAGATATTTTCCCCAGCCCATGTTACATAACCAAAACATGAGCAAGACCATAGAGTCATAGACTGGTTTGAGTTGGAAGATACAAAGTCTGTCTGCAGAAAAATACTTATGTTTATTTACATCTTCTTCAACATGCATGTCTGTTGTCTGACAGAAACCAACAGTCGTAGTCTGGCTTAGACTCTTACATTCCATCCAGAGTCTTTGAGCAATGCCATATTTGGGGGAAATTATTCAATAACCACTAAACATAAAGATAACTTTTCCATAATTATTTATGAATTTTGGATTCAGACACCCGTGTTTACCATTTAGTTACTGTATATTTTCATTTATTCATGGAAATATTCTGACAGTGAAATAAAAATGATTCGCAAAGCATTCTATTTAATCTGTGTTCATAGCATAGTTTATTAATATGAAATCTTTTTCCACATATGCAAAATGATTTCTCCTACTGTTGAAAGTTCTACTAATATTTAAGAAAACAGAAGTGCTTGAAAACATTTTGGAGAAATTTTGCCTACTCTATTTCAAAAGTAGTATGTTTAAACTCAAAAGCACAATTAAATGATATTCTGAAATACACCTGCCTTGTAATGAATGCTACATTAAATTTTATTACAGTCAACATTTCAAAAAAGGAACCATTGCTTTAAAGAGTACTTGAAGTTCCCCAACTTATTGCTCATTCTCTCCAAACAAATTCAACCTGTTAAAAAATAGATTTTAAAATCAATGGGAAAATGTGTAAGCATAAAAAAAAGTCTGCTTTTTTAATTTAATTTCTTCAGTCTTCAAAAAAGATCATAAAATCTTCGAATCAATTAGATTAGAAAAGGCCTTCAAGATCAACAGTATAAAAAATCTCAAGTAAGACATTCAATAACATATTTGTTTGGTTTAAAAATGCTTTTGTAGGTGCTGTATAATACTGAGAAACCACCATCCAGGTCTTGCTTGGGTCCCAGCACATGAAAGACATAGAGCTGCTGGAGTGGGTCCAGAGAACACCACAAAAATATCAGAGCAACTCTCCTATGACGAAAGACTGAAGGAGCTGGGCTTGTTCAGCCTGGAGAAGAGAAGGTTCTGCTGAGACATCAACGCAGCCTTCCAGTAATTAAATGGTGTTTAAAAAAGGATGGAGACTGACTTTTTACAAGGGTAGATGGTGAATGGACAAGGGGAAACAGTTTTAAACTAAAAGTTAGATGTTAGAAGGAAATTATTTACTCACTGGACAGTGAGGCACTGGCACAGCTGCTCAGAGAAGCTGTGGATGCCCCATCCCTGGAGGCACTCAAGACCAGGTTGGATGGGGCCCTAGGCAGGCTGATCCAGTCAGTGGCAACCTGCCCATGGCAAGGGGGCTGGAACTTCATGGTATTTAAGGTCCCTTCCAAGTTGGAGCATATTCAGACAATATATGTATGTGTGCACTAAGCTACTACTTTTTTTCCTCTTCAAATAAACAATTAACTGTATGAATGCACGAGCTATTATGATTATGACTGTAAAACTCTGTGTGGAAATATGGTTTTATTTGCAGCCAAAAAGAGAAACACTGTGAAAATAATTGTTTGAATTACAAGACTACTGTTTTAGCATATTCATTTGCTTTTCTTCCTCCTGAAAGTAATCTGAAGAATAAGAAATTATTTTTAAAGAAGACAACTAAGAAGTGAAATTTAGTGTAGAAGCTGTTTGATTTAGTATAATTTATCTATTTAGTCTTGGATTTCATATGACAAATTAATGTATACATTAATCCCATCTACAGATGTCAAAACCAAAATCATCCTTTACTACAAGCTAAGATGAAACAATTGTAAATCGGACCTCACTGCCTAGTTTCCAGCCAAGTACTATTTTCTGTGTTATAGGTACTTACCATAAAACATACTGGACCAAGCTGTTAAAACAAATGTGCTACAAAGTCTTTTTCTGACTTAAAACTGAGCACACTCACAGAAATTCAGAATTTAAATACAATGCACCTGAATCTGTTTTCTTATATCAAACAGACCTTTTTAAATCTGGTGTGTCTATAATATGGCATTATCTTATTACTCGTTTATTCTGATTTAATACAAATAGCTGTGGAAATCAAGCTTTATCCAATTCAGTAAGCCTGCTTACTTCATTTTTTAGTGTGGAAAATGTTTTTTTCTGCCACACGCTTTTCACCATACAGTTAATCCATGTGAATTAACAGACTTTTTTTTTTTTTTTTTTTTTTTAAATACATATGGATCTATTTCTTTATTCTACAAGCAAGAGTGTCACTTGAACCAGGAACATGTTAAACTTTTGAGCAATTAAAAGTGGATACATGCTAACTTTTCCAACTGAATTAATTAAATTCAATACATGTACTTAAAAACATTATAAAAATCACCTGGTAAAAGGGAAAAGAATTAAAGGAGTGAAGAGTAAAGGAGTGAAGACTTTATTTTCTTATTTTATGATTTTTCCAAATCTTACAGATTTGCAGTTTTGAAGAGTGATGTTGCTATTATTGCTCTTATTATGGCCTAACTCATTCTCTTCATCACTATCAGCTGACTACAAACTCACACAATATATATTTATCCTTGTCTTCCCATTAGAACAGAGAGAGGGAGAGTTAAATTGTATGATTTGTATGGTCTCAGCATGACTGATACCAGGAAAGAACTGTGCCAACTGAAAAAGGAATAGCACATAACCAAGCGCGCAGTGTTGAACTTCTCATTAAAAAATCCGGATAAAGTTTTCCCTCTGAGACAATAATAAGTGCCTTAGGTGATTTCACATATGCTTCATTCACTCATCTTATTTAAATTATATGTGTCAATCAGAGGGAATAGTAATTGTTTTCATTCTGTCCAGGCATTCTTCTTTATTATTTTTGACAAATGTATATTGATCTTCTTGGACTTTTGAAACATAGCTGTTGCTATCAGATCTGTGGATTATAAAGACTTATAGGCTTCACATAACAGGCTGGAGCATCAGAGAAGGGCAGTAATGAGCACCAACAGAAACAGTCATTTAAAATAAGGATATAGCAAGAAAATGCCAACATTATTATCCACAGTCACATTCAATACCTTGTGTTGAAATGCAGGAAACCTACCATTTCAATCACATATTTTATTTTCTATGAATCCTGAGACTCTGTTCGTAATTAGCACTTAGAACTACTAAATCTTTCGAGCCAAAATGTTGCAGTTTTACAAGTATTGCAAGACAAAAAATAAAGAGAGTACAGTATTTGATTTGTAAATTCACCACTTACCTTCTCTGCTGACTGGGCCGTACCAAAAAAGATTGGAATAAAAGCTAACCAAATTATGCAGGTTGTGTACATAGTAAATCCAATGGGTTTTGCTTCATTGAAGGTCTCTGGAACCCCTCTTGTTTTAATAGCATAAACAGTACACGTGACCATCAAGAGAATACTGTATCCAAGGGAGCAAATGAGAGACAGATCTGAAATGTCACATTTGAGAACTCCCCTGGCATTTTCTGGTTCAAGAGTCCTCTGCTCTCCATAATCTACTATGGTGTGTGGTGGATCAATAGCAAACCAGATGAAGACTCCAATAAGCTGCAAGGATATGAGACTGAAAGTGATCACCAGCTGGGAAGCTGGACTAATAAATTTGGGAGCTGTGACTGATTTCTTACCCTGTTCAAATATTCTGTGAATTCTATTTGTTTTGGTAAGCAAGGCAGCATAGCTGAAACACATGCCAAGTCCTAGGAAGATCCTCCGAAATGAGCAGATCACTGTATCAGGAGTGGCAATCATTAAAAAAGTAATGGAATAACAGAGAAAAATCCCAGTCAAGAGCACATAACTGAGCTCCCGTCCAGAGGCCCTGACAATCGGAGTATCATTGTACCGGACAAACGTCACGATGACGAAGGTGGTGGCAATTATACCAAGGATAGCTATGAAGACGGGCACAATGGCCCATGGGGAATGCCACTCCAGTTTGATTATGGGGATAAGCTGGCAATCTGTACGGTTGGCATTCGGTCTCTTATTGATGGGACACAGTTCACAATTGAATTCATCCACCTGGTAGTGGTACCCTTCGCAGCGTTCACAGTGCCAGCAGCAGGGCACCCCCTTCACGGTTTTCTTTCTTTCCCCAGCTTTACAGGGTAGGCTGCAGACAGATGCCGGATGAGTGTGCTCTCTATTAGCCCACTGCATGTCTTCTACCTGCGGGTATAAAAAATTAATGAGCCTTCTATTTACTCCCATTTATAATATCCTAATCCTGGCCACACGTTCGTCATAAATCACTACATGCTGACAGTTCAAATGCAGTTTACCATAATAAGAAACCTGTTTCTTCCCCATGTATTGACTTTATGAAAGTGTTAAATGGTTGTGTCCAATAAATCATTCATGCCACTGGCTCGATGAGTGTCATTAGTTTCTATTTACCTCTTTACTGCTGACCAAATTGACATCTGCAAGGATATTTATTGACTCATGGCTGCTTTAAAAGCAAAAAACCCTGTACACAGCGCTTTAAAAGTTAATCATATGCAAATATAAGTACCACTAGTTCTCAAACATTTAATTACAAAATAAGGCTACATGAGTTTCAAATTTTTGGCACAGTGAAGAAAAAGATTGAAATCTCCCTGCATCAGTTTTGTCAGAACAAAACATCAATATATAGGAAATATAATGCCATGTCTTCCATGAAAGTTGGTATTTCACACTTTTTTACTTTCTGAGTTTGAAAACTCACAAAGGAGTTTTGTTTTCATTTCCAGAAGACAAAAATGAATATATACTGCTTTCTGAATGATAATGGAAAAAGATGTCATGACTACACTTTAGCTCTCCTGACTTAAAAATTCCAAGATTCTTTTTGTAGTATAAAGCAGATGCACACAGTGCAGTCTTTCTTTGGAAGTCCCAAATTTCTCACAGCAGAGCATTAATGAAATAAATATGCTTTTTTTTTTCATTCTCTTGTCTATTCTTCATGCATATTCCCCACATAAAACCTGTATGGGAAATTAACAGATTTAAAGTGTCTCTGGCTTAAAATTATCACTCAAGTTAGTCCCAGCAACCCTTAGCCCACCCTTAGTAACAGCGTGTTCTGCAAGAGGTCACACTGAGTGATCCAGAGCAGTTTGCAGAGCAAATAATTTCTTAAAGGCACCAGATTTGCTCTGCCATGATCCCATTCTCCATCTTTTATTCCTTTGTTAGGCAGTAGGCACTCGAACATGAAGGACTCACCTTGTTCTTGTCTACTAAGTACTTAGCACTTTCATTCAATTTAGAGGTTTTATTTATAAGTGAAATAGCAGTAACAAAACTTCACGTGTCAGGAGTGTTTTCAGCTCCTTCTGGAGGAAGACAGAATGGGGACAGCTTATCAAGAGGGATAATTTTGGCCTTAAAGGTTTATTTTTCCAGTCGTTTTTTAACAGACTTGAGAGAAAACCACAATGTAGCATGTCCAGCCTTCTCTTCCTTCCTTTGAGTACCATGTCACTGTAATACACAGGCTCAATACAAGAGAAGCATGCAGACTAGCTCTTTGTCTCCTTTGTCCCTTCTGCACAGTGCAGGACTGTCATTTGACACGCAAAAGGGCAAACAAGTGACCACATGGTAATGAAGAGGAACATGCTCACACAGGCAACTCAGTGAGACCCCTGAGTCATTGAAGGACATCAGCTGATTTGGGACTGATTAATGACTAAACTGAGTAATGTTTAAAGAAGACTGAGATGTCCTTCTGGGGAGTATCTTCTGTTTTCATTTCAGCCAGAAGCAATCCAGTTCACTGAAAAGCCATGCTACTTTTGGTTATTGAAGTAATTCCCACATATCCATAACACGCAGCACTCCTTGTCTGTATTCTTGGTCTACTTTTTTTTTTTTTTTTTTTTTTTTTTTTCCATGATATGAATTTATTAAAGAAAAACAGCCAAGGACTGTTTATTACAACAAAGTTCTTAAAGCTCTATCCGTTTTTCCAGTTATCAAATGTATGTGTCAGCTTTCTGGGTTCTTGAATCTGTGCAGAATATTCACCCGTGTCATTAATTTTCTATCCATAGTTTACAGCACTAGTGAACCCACATCTTCTCTGAGATTAAATTTAGAAAATATATGATAGTAGGAACTGATATACAAGAAAGAGGAGGATCATCAGAGACATTCTGGAACATACAGTCATGCATACTGTATAATTTTCAGAACTGCTGAATACCTATAATTGTCATCAAATTCAAAAGGAGTTTCTGAATGCTTAGCCTCCTTCAAAAACCAGATTTTTTTAAGTAGACAGAAATACATAGCAGTGGAATTTTCAAAATTGCCAAGGGGAAATTGTTCAGTTCAGTTAATTAATTTAAATGGGAGCCTATACGCTTTATCTCTTTTTGAAAATCCTACTCTTTTTCCATATGCAGTTTTTATCACCTAAATGCTTTGGAAAACCTGCTCCAAAGTGATTTATAAATTCAAATACTGCAAAACTAACATCAGAATAGCTTAACTTTAGTTATACACTTTTAAACAGGATTCTCATGGGTGAATGAAAATGACGAGAAAAAAAATGGAAAAATGGAATAAGAGAAGGGTTTTTTTTGACATGAAAAGAAAATACAAGAAAGCCATGCAGGTCTTCAGCCCTTATTGATCAAAATTTCTCGGTCTTTAGCAGTCTTTATACTGCTCAGAACCTGCTAGGGCTGTGTGAGTCTCAGCTCTTTAAGTAGCCTTAGGTAAATTTGGATTATAGAAGACTTATTTTTGTAACTTTCATTTTCATGTGACATCAGCTAGCTGCTTTTCACTACAGTGTGACATATGAAAAGACTAAATTCAGTGTAAAATATATATTTTTAGATCAGATGGACTGGGTTGGCTGGGTCTGTATTTATTACCATTAATATAATTAATTTAATAGTGATTATTATCAACTTCATTGTAGTAGCTGCACTGAATTTGCATTGTCTGATAGATTGATGCGTTGTCATGGAATACTTCATGTTCCCCTATCACCAGATTTTGTTTTCAACAATTCCAATACTTACTACAGTAAAAATATCTGAAAGAGTGTGACAGCATTTCTGTAAGGCACATATTCAATTTCTACAAAATGCAACACGATACAGAAAGAGAATGGCTTCATTGCTATTTAAATAGACATAAAAATCATCCTTATGTGAGATATCTGCCTGATGGAGTGGCAATTTGCTTTAATTTGCAGCACTAAGGTTCACAGTTCACTAAACCATCAAAACACCGAGGAAATACCATTTCATATCAAAATTGAGTAAACACCTCTATCCTTCATGAACATTACAAATACAATTTTCTCTAATATCTAATAACAAAGCTAAAAATTAATGATTTGAGAAATGGGATCAAACAAGATGAGATTTACATGCCACTGTACAAAAAGCACATTCACATTCCTGGCACCTATATTCCTCCAACAACTGAGCAGTTCATTCATCTAGCAATGCTCCAAGCAACTGAAGGAGACCGACCAAAATGCTGTTAATAGGTCACATACAATTTCTGAACCATTTAAACATACAAGAACACCCTGTTTTTCATTCTTCATGATAATGCCAATAATTATCAATTACATAATTCACCAAGGGGTGATAATACAAAGCACTTTGATAAACTTCAGAGGATTTATATCAAGGACTCAGCTGGACTGTATTTTAATGTTTTGGATTACGTTGCACTATCAACTGCAGTAATTTCCATGTTTGAAGTCTTATCTCAGAGCTAGAAATGTATCTAAAAATGAAAAATACGTGTTTACGAATATTATTCTAATGAATAGAATTATGCAAAATATGGACAGGGGAATGTAAACAGTGCATTCTGCAAGAAATATAGAAGCAAGTTAACATCTTATTTGACTACTTAGCAAAGATCTTCAGAAGCATAAAGGCTCTCACATACAGCTTCATATGTCTTTTAAAACATATTCAGTTTCTCAGATATAAAAAATGACAAAGGTTTGAAACATCCCCTGCTGCTGTTACTAAGAGCTATACTTACGTCTGCCTCAAGTTTCTGGAAGTATTTCCCTTCTGACAAAAAGGTTCATCAGAGGAGCACAGCAAGTGAATGAGTTAAGGCAATTTAGTCCAATATTTAGCTTTTTGAATTGTCTAATGCATCTACTCTCAGAGTAGAAGTTCCAGTCTCTAATGTACCTTGTCCAATCAAGTCATCTGAACCATCGCGCACCAAAATTAAACTGAAACTGGTTCAACTAAAGTGAATTCATTATGAGCTTAAATAAAATGATCATTGCATTCAGCTTGCTAGACAGATTTTATCCCTCTAGAGAATAGCTGGGCATACTTACAGACTAAACTTACAAACATTTAAGCAAGCACGTGTAGAATGGAAATAAGTCAAGGGCAAAAAATATACTTGAAAGGAAAACACTAGAAAATAAACTGGAGTGAATTCAGATTGTCAAATGCAGTCTCAAATCACTATCATTACAAAATTTTCTGTAATTTCTTAGAATTATTTACCTCGCTCACCACATACAGATGTTTTCCTAAAAACTAAGACATCTTTCTCTGGAACTCAAGGCACAGATATTCCTAAAAATTTGTAAAGAACATAATACGTTTCTTTGTTTTTACCAAACCAGTTGAAAATTAATGCAGTCAAATGTCAGACATGACTGAAGAAGAGCCTGAGAAGCCTGACTTTATGCAAAGAGGGAAAAAGACCAGGAGGGAAGGTAAAATATAAATTATTTGAAAGTAGTGCTGCAAAATGGTTGCACAGATTTGGTCTTCAATGTCATTCAAATTGCTCCAGGGGAGGTTTAGTTTAGATATCAGGAAAAACTTTACAGAAGGAGTTGTTAAGCACTGGAACAGACTCCCCAGGAAGGTGGTTGAGGGCCAGGGTTAGAGTGGTTAGGGTTAGGGTTACCATTCCTGAATGTTTGAAATCCATTTGGATGTGATGCTCAGGGATATGATTTAGCACAGGGTTGTTAGGGTAGTATGGTTTGGTTGTGGTTGGACTTGAAGATCTTGAAGGTCTTTTCCAACCTCAGTGATTCTATGATTTGCTTAGAGTATATATAGCTCTGTTACAATCTGACTTTCTTGGTGACCTTGGGCATGTTATTTAACCTGCTTGAACCTCAGCTTTGCTCAGTCTGGAAGGAAGCTGTCATGCAGACA